TTGCTAAGAAATCCCAATCACGTATTTTGCCTCTTGACACTGAACCATCTGTGTAAATGATCAAATACTCTGAGCGATCATTATCTTGAATTTATGGCTGAATTTCCACCTCCTTCGCACCTGCTGGACAGTCTCTGCTCAGTGTGATTATGACCCTACACAAGTGTGACTGTTCAGGTGGCACTTTGACCCACTCCTATCCTCGCCTAATGTTCACAAGGATGCAAACCTGTCTGACTGTGTCTTCTGCCTGAGCCATCCATGAAATTCCTCTTATTAACCGCTGACCCTTAACTGCACCCAGAGCTTCGTGCAAAAGGTACTCTGTGTTTGCAGTTACCCTGACATATGACTTCGCCTGCAGCACCTTGTGCCTACCTGCAACAGTCGGCAAACCAAGGATATATCGCATACACACCACTAGGGTGTGTCTGGAATGACCCACAATGACCCACATAGCTGCGTTCTGAATGCGCTCTAGTCAGTCCATCTGACTAACAGAGACGGTAAGTTTTCCCAGGCCATAATCAACCACTGACAGAATCAGGTGCTGATATAGTGTGAAAAGCATTATCTGCTTTATGTCAATTGCAGCCATAGTCTTAAGTGCACCAAGTCCTTTTTGACATCTTGTACCAACACTCTCCACATGGTCCTTAAAAGACAAGCTTATGTCAAATGTAATTCCCAGATACTTCAGCTTGCTCTCTTTGTTGACGTTCCTACCATCTGTCGTGAGAATTGGGACATTAGCTTTAACGATTCTGTTGTATAGATAACACTTCAAAACAGACGCCACTCAGTTACTTTGTCTAATGTAGCTTACGGGCTGCTTGTTCCTTTTCTCTCCCCCCCCCCCCCGCCTTTATGTAAGTATTTAATCCGCAAAAGTCAGTATCCTTCCAACTCCTGGTGCTTCTAGGCTTGCAGTCTTGCTCGTATACAGGTTAAAGAGCACAAGCGAAATGGCTGATCCCGGTAGCAGTCCTGGGGCCACACTGCATGGTTCTGAGGTCCAAGGGCCCAGTCGGAGAGCAACCTGACGTGAACACAGGACAGCTGCAAACCAATTCACCAGCCATGGACTGACCTCCATCTCATTTAGTGCAGTCATCAAGATGTCGTTTCTCAATGTTATAAGCATCCTCGAGATGCAGTGCTACCGCCATTATTTCATGTCTTTTCTGGAACCCTTCATAGACCTCAGAAGCAAAAGTGACCGCATTTGCCCATGCATCTCGCCCCTCTCCTAAATCATAAAAGTCGGCCAGGCTCCCTGGTAATTCCTCGCGGCACCATTCTCTTCAGACCTTGGTGATCTGTTTGTGTCTCTGCACAGCTCACTTGCTCCCAACGTATGCCATGCATGAATCTACTAACTAACAGTGCAGAGTCAGCCACAACATAATGATTTGCAGTATTCAGTATTTTCCAATTGCTTCAGATATATGCACCTTGCAACGATAGTTATTCTGAAGAAGAAAAAGAAGACTTTTACGAGAGACTTACGGACACCATCAATAATGTTAAAGAGAAAGAGGACATCATAGTAATGAGAGATTTTAATGGTAGGGTAGGTAAAAGAAGATCACCATGGGAGAGATACCTTGGCCCATTCAGCGACACAACCACAGATTGCAATAGAAATGGAGAACACCTGTTAAACTTGTGTGCTGAACAAGATCTCTACATTACCAACACATTCTACCAACATCGCCAAAGTCAGGTTAAAACGTGGTACAAGTGGAACAACTTAGATCAAGCGTCACAAATTGATTTTATACTAGTCAGACAACGGCAGAAGAGGAAGGTAAGAGACTCAAAAGCTGTCCCAAATGCGGGACTGGATTCAGACCATCGCCCAGTAGTTATGAACATATGCAACTCAAGCAGAAACAGTCTACATAAACAGAAACGTGAAGAAATCATCAACACTAAGAAATTAGAGGAAGAGAATATCAAACATGAATTTGAACTAGAAATAACAAAGGCTTTTGCAGATATTGCCAAGGAACCAGTAAGAATTGAAGAAGAATGGGATTATTATAAATCAACCATCACGAAGATATTAAAAGACAAGTGTGGTACCAGAAAGACGGGCAAAGGCAAGAAAAAGGGTACCGCTTTGTGGAATGAAGAAGTCAAAGAAGCAGTGTCAAATAAAAAGAAGATGTTTCAAATATGGTTAAAAACAAAAGACGAAAAGGATTACATTAGGTACAGACTAACTCGAAGAGACACCAAGAGAACAATAAAGATATCCAAAGAGGAATCATGGAAAAGGTATGGTGAACACCTAACACAGCTATGTACAGAATCACCAAGAGACTTTTATAAGAGTGTGAAAGCGATGCGATTAAGAGAAGAAAGCTTCAATCCAACATCAGTCATAAACGATAAAAATGGAAAACCATTATTCAGCCAAAAAGAAATTTAAAAAAAGATGGGAGGAATATTTTAAAGAACTTTTGAACCCGTCGGGAGTACATGAAACAGCAGAATTCCATTCAAGGGCTCCAGATCATCTAGAACCACATATCCTGCGGGATGAAGTAGAGAAAGTTATCAAAACAAGTAAAAGACACAAAGCAGCTGGTATCGACGGAATAACAACAGAAGTCATCCAGGCTGGAGGGGACACTATGATCACCTGGCTGGAGAGAATTTTCAATAGAGCATGGGCAGAGAGAAAGGTACCAGTGGATTGGCAAAGATCAGTTGTAGTACCTATCTGGAAGAAAAAAGGAAACAAGAGAGAATGTGGAACTTATAGAGGAATATCTTTACTAAGTCATGTGGGGAAAATGTATGCAAAGATCTTAGAAGGTAGGATAAGAGCAAAGGTTGAACCTCTACTGAGTAAAGCACAATTCGGTTTCAGGAAAGGGCGAGGTTGCACTGATGCCATATTTGCACTAAGACAAGTCTGTGAAAAGACACTCGAATACGATAAAGAGCTGAACGTGGTCTTTGTAGATCAAGAGAAGGCATTCGACCGTGTAGACAGAGATGTGCTGTGGAGAATTCTTGACGATTATGGAGTGCAGGGTCAATTATTAGACAACATCAGAGCCTCTATGAAAAAAGCGAAAGTGCAGTAAGAACATCTAGTGGTCTTTCTGAATGGTTCAAAGTCACAACTGGTGTCAGACAAGAATGTGTACTGTCACCATTACTTTTCATAACATACATGGATAAGATCACTGTAGAAGCAAACCCAGACGTGTATGCTATAAACGAATTACTTTTTGCTGATGATCAAAGCATACTGTATCAAAATGAATATGATCTACAGGAACATCTGACTACTCTCAACAACAGCTGTTTACAACATAATATGAGAATCAGTACAGAAAAAACAGAAGTTATGAAGATCAGCAGAACACACAGGCCACTGAATATAAATGTTGGAAGTGCCAAAATCAAGCAAACCAAAGAGTTCAAATACTTGGGCAGTATATTTACAGAGGATGGAAGAATGGACAGAGTGATAGAAACAAGAATACAGAAAGCAAATGCTGTCACATACCAACTATCACCTCTGCTTAAACATCCAGATATAACCATGAAGACCAAAAGACAATTTATAAACACCATCTTCATTCCAACACTCTGCTACCAGTGCCAGACATGGACAATCAACAAGACCCATGAAAGAAAAATAGAAGCCTGTGAAATGAAATGTCTAAGAAAAGCAGCGAATAAGACCAGACTAGACAGGATAAAGAATATAGACATTAGAAACACTGTCAAAACTACACCATGTTTAGACTACATAGAACATCAAAGAATGAAATGGTTTGGACATCTAACCAGGATGAAAAATGATCAAATAACATCACAAATTTTCAACCAAAGAAGCTCGGGATATAAGGCAAGAGGAAGACCAAGGAAACGGTGGATTGACGGGGCTCCGAAACCTGCCAAAAGCATGGCCTCAGAACATCAGATGCTGCCCGCCTTGCTTATGACAGGAACTTGCATCTCCCCACAACGCTTAGCGGCATACGTGGAAGGAAAAAGTAAAGTAAGTAAGTAAGTGACTATCATGCCATTACTTAAATCCTATCAAATTGGTATGCTACCAAATCATCTGTAACTGACTTCAGACCAGTCTGCCTGTCAGTTTGTCCGTCTGTTTATTTTCCTGTATGTATGTCTGTTTATCTAGCTAATCTAATGCACTTGTTGGTTTGTCGAACTGTTTGATGGCTATCTGCCTATTTCATTTTAATTCCCTTTATCCATGGGTCTAACAGTCCATATTTCATCCATGTCTGTCTTGTGTTTTGTACAAGCAGTTACTTAAAACTTGCATGGGCAACACTGACGAAGTCGAACTCACCCATTCAAGAACGACACATACACGCGAGCACACACACACACGCGCGCATACACACACTCACTATACAAATACATATGTAAATAGATCTATATGTATATAGATCGGTTTACCTCTTTTCACAAACGAATGGGTATTTATTCCCGCAAGGTACATCATTCCACTTGTAGTGAGCAAATTTCGAGATAGATAGACAACCTTCTTTGCCTCCAGCTGGAATAATAATTTATATGCCCGTCACATATAGGTCAGAACTATCTTGTAACATTATTATTATTATTATTATATATTATCTTAATATATCAGGAACCTTAAGACTAATTGTCTGATAGAGGTCTGAAACCTGGAGAAGTACTTAGAGACAAGGCTTTATTAAAACTGTAAAAACAGAGTCTTATGACAAACCGTTGTACCCATAAAAAATTCAGACGAAGAAGAATAGAGAGTGAATGGCTACACTGACATTCGTCCTATTCTCCTTTTTGATTGGGTTCATATGCCGCTGTTGTCAATTGTATTTTCTCCACCAACCAAAGTCTTCAATGGTTCTCTAAATGTTGTCTTGGATCCTATCCATTTGGCCATGCATTTTCTCGCAGGTTTCCCAGTGGTGCTAAACCTGCACTTTGCGCGCGGATCCTCCGAGTGCGGGTTGGCACTAATACAGGGCAGAGTATGCAGTCTTCATTCTGTGCATGAGTGCGTTAAGTCTGAAGTGTCCTGAGCTTGTCTAAAAAAGCAGAGAATTTCTTAACCTCTTTGAATAAATCGGCAATCGGTGGGTGATGTGGTCAGCATCATGCCAAACCCCTTCGCTTTCAAGCATTTTACCTGGTACACATTTAAGGCTAGATTCATATGTGAGCCACATTCATTTAAACCTCCAGCTATCTCAGGACCTGAACAAACGATCTTGCGAACCGCAGACGAGAGTCTAGCCGTGTGACCTAGGGACAAAAGTCTAGCCGCTACAGACGAGAGTCTATCCGTGCAAACCCAAGACAATAGTATAGCCGCTACATACAAGAGTCCAGCCGTGCGACCCAAAGACGATAGTATAACCGCTAGAGACGATAGTCTAACCGCTACAGATGAGATTCTAACTGCTACAGACGAGAGTCTAACCGCTACAGACGATTGTATAGCCGCTACAGACGAGAGTCTATCAGCCACAGACGATTGTATAGCCGCTACAGACGAGAGTCTAACCGCTACATACGAATGTAAAGCCGCTGCAGACGAGATTCTAACCGCTACAGACAAAAGTCTAACCGCTACAGACAATCGTATAGCCGCTACAGATGAGTCTAACCGCTACAGACGATTGTATAGCCGCTACATACGAGAGTCTAGCCGCTCCAGACGAGTGTCATGCCGCTACAGACGAAAGTCTAGCCGCTACAGACGGGAGTGTTTCTGCTACATACGATTGTATAGCCGCTACATACGATTGTATAGCGGCTTCATACGATTGTATAGCCGCTACAGACGATTGTACAGCCGCTACAGACGAGATTCCAACCGCTACAGACGATTGTATTGCCGCTACAGACGAGAATCTAACCGCTACAGATGATTGTATAGCCGCTACAGACGTGAGTCTAGCCGCTACAGATGATTGTATAGCCGCTACAGACTAGAATCTAACCGCTACAGACGAACGTATAGCCGCTACAGACGAGAGTCTAGCCGCTACAGACGATTGCATAGCCGCTACAGTCGAGAGTCTAGCCGTGCGACCCACAGACGATATAGACTAGCCGCTACAGACGAGAGTCTAGCCTCTACAGACGAGAGTCTAGCCGCTACAGACGAAAGTCTAACCGCTACAGACGAGAGCCTAACCGCTACAGACGAGAGTCTAACCGCTACAGACGAGATTCATGATGCTACAGACGAGAGTCTAGCTGATACAGACGAGAGTCTAGCTTCTACAGACGAAACCCTGTATTGGTTTGAAAAGCGCACACACTAGCACTTTATTAATCGTGTTTCGTGTTTGTTCTGGGTTCCAAATGTTTGCAGAAGAAAGAATTGGTTCACTATTGTCTTAACATAATGTTGTGAAAAGCTACTAATTAGCGGCTGTTCTGTCTAAATCAGAATGTATCCGCCGGAGAAGCAAGAAACCTAAACTTTTCACACAAACAAATCAGATGTGTTAAACTAGCGTACGCGCAAAACGCAAGTTCTTGAAAGAGACCAACGTCTAGAAGTGGACCAACACGCAGAACTATCAGCCAATGTCTACGCCAGTGAGAAGACGGAGACAAAGCACTTGTTTGAATGACACACATTAGCATTATTAGCCTGTTTCAGTTAACATAGTTTCATCAAACAGTTATGTACTTAACCTCATGTGACCATAATCTTTCGACCTTTGTCTATGTCGTCTTTCTTTAGTACGTTCTAAAAGTTATGACTATTTACAAAAATGTGTAACACAGTATTCGGCTGGTGTAGTTTATTGAAACTAGGCGTGCAACACGCTAAGAACCGTGTCCTGTAAGGGAAATAATTATAATGTAAACAAAGGTTATTTGTGTCACATGAAAAAGCAGACATCGACCCACATCATACGATTAGCATATTTACAGTAAATGATTGGAGGTAAAGTTGGCAAAACACCAGACTGCATGGGCTTTGGAGACAACCCGAACAAGAATAGTGATGCGTCTGTACTGGACAATGCTTGTTGATTCGTCAATAAACAAAAAGGACAGCAGTTGCGTCAAGTATACACATACACCATCTGCTGTAAGAAAATAGCAGTAAATGCGGAACTGTAAATTACGCATTCACGAAGAAACGATATATCTAAGACTGCCTGCAAACATTTATGTTGATCAGTACACGAGGTTTCGTCACATGAATTTTCGAGAAATGTATTAAAGTTATGACTTTAGGAACAAACTATAGGTCTCATCTGTTTTAATTCGTGGCTGTGACGACAGACAGCTGTTAGGCCAGCCGGCACTTAATCACGTCATGTTTTAGCCGGAATACAAATCAGGCGAGGAGCCAGTAGTTAATATATAAAAACACGATATCTGTAAAACAGATGGGCACGCAAGACTTAAATTCTGGAACCATACCGGAGTCCAGAAGTGGACGCACAACTAGAACTTCGCGCAAAGTTTTCCACTTGTGAACGGTAAGAAGAAACATGAAGAAGTAGCACTGATTTTTATCCTGAATCCAGACAGTTCTAATGAAGTTTTATTTTGTTTTAACTTATCAATGCTGTTTAGCAGTAGGACCCAGTTGACCCATTAAGAGGCGGAATTGACCAGCAGCCATCTAAAAATCATTTCGTATAAAGCTACTAACTAGAAATTCCCCTAACGTTTATGCTTGTGTTGTATTCGGAATTTGCAGCTTAGCATTGCTAAATTTCATTGTACAAGGTCCGACAATGAGGTAATGAGACTAATTTCATAAAAATTAAAATAATTAACATTTAAAGATATAACCTGCATTTTATTCAATGTTAGCACCCGTGTGCATTGAAACAGTGAGTAGCACAATCTAACAAACAAAGGATAACCTCTAAGGATCTTCTTTTGCTATGGGCATTAACGTCAATGTTACGGCTCTTTGGATAGCATGAATATCGTTAAATAAGCGTCTTTCCACTGGCAACTTTAATTTTGGGAACATAATAATAATATAAAATAATCACGGGCGGACAAATATGGGGAATATGGTGGAAGGTTGAGAACATACACTTGTTTTGGGGCTTACAATTCCTGTTTTGATGATGTCTCTTGGGTACTCAACCCTCTGATGCTTTCTGTCATCAGACAACGAATGCGGAACAAACCTGCAAGCAACTTTTTTTCTTATCAAAATCTTGCACTAAAATTTTTACGAATGGTCTCTCTGTTAACACCAGATTTATCTGCCATCATTCTGACTGTTAAACAGCGATCTTCTTCTTTCTGTGCTGTGACTTTTGCAAAACGTTTATCATTAGAAACATAAAATGGGCGTCCAGGTCTAGTCGCATTAATACTCATTTCCAGACCTCTTTTAAACCGTGAATACCACTTGCAAATCTGTGCACTAGATAAGCAATTGTCCCCATACATTTGTCGTATCAATTCAACTGTCTCCTTGGTGCTTTTTCAGGGTTTTAAACATAATTTAATGTTAGCTTTTTGCTCCATGCTGATTATGTAACCATGCACCTCTGAATAGGTCAACAAAATGACGGCTTGTTTATTGTCTGCTTATCGGGCAGTGATGAAAAGTTGCCAGATCCTAGGTAAAGGTTGATTTTTTGGATTCCATGCTTTGCTTCACTAGATAGCATTTTTGTCTTGACCATAATAAGATCAGTGTCATTACTTAATTGTCGGACCTTGCACATCTTTAGGCTGGTTCGATCAAGAGACAAGTTTTTAATTTTTTTTTTTTTTTTAATTATAAAACAAAATGTCAGCCTTAATGTAAATTTGAAGAAACAAATGAAATCATAAGTGCACTTACCGTTGTCTGGTAGTCCCTGTCCCCAGTTTGTGTATTCCTTAAGCCTGGTAAAGCTTGGCATCCATTGCCAATGGGCTGTTGCAAAACCACCAATCCAAACAATATCCACTGCGAAAATAGCAATATTCCTGTGTCAGTAAACGCATATATATATATATATATATATATACAAAGCCAAAATACTCCATGAGGATATTCCGTTAGGTTTTGGGTTGGAATCTGCACTAGAGAGATTCGAATACAAATTGACCTTGGCGGTTAGATCGACTCAGGTTTACATGGATACTAGGACAATGTCCTCGAAACTCCAGGTGGGCGACATGATGTTAGTCAGACCACCCATGTATGTTAGTCAGACCACCTATGTATGTTAGTCAGCCCACCCATGTATGTTAGTCAGACCACCCATGTGTGTTAATCAGACCACCCATGTATGTTAGTCAGACCACCCATGTATGTTAGTCAAACCACCCATGTATGTTAGTCAGACCACCCATGTATGTTAGTCAGCCCACCCATGTATGTTAGTCAGACCACCCATGTATGTTAGTCAGACCACCCATGTATGTTAGTCAGACCACCCATGTATATTAGTCAGACCATCCATGTATGTTAGTCAGACCACCCATGTATGTTAGTCAGACCACCCATGTATGTTAGTCAGACCACCCATGTATGTTAGTCAGACCATCCACGTATATGTTAGTCAGACCACCCACGTATATGTTAGTCAGACCACCCATGTATGTTAGTCAGACCACCCATGTATGTTAGTCAGACCACCCTTGTATGTTAGTCAGACCACCCATGTATGTTAGTCAGACTACCCACGTATATGTTAGTCAGACCACCCATGTATGTTAGTCAGACCACCCATGTATGTTAGTCAGACCACCCATGTATGTTAGTCAGACCACCCATGTATGTTAGTCAGACCACCCAGGTATGTTAGTCAGACCATCCACGTATATGTTAGTCAGACCACCCATGTATGTTAGTCAGACCACGCGTGTATGTTAGTCAGACCATCCATGTATGTTAGTCAGACCACCCATGTATGTTAGTCAAACCACCCATGTATGTTAGTCAGACCACCCATGTATGTTAGTCAGACCACACATGTATGTTAGTCAGACCACTCATGTATGTTAGTCAGACCATCCATGTTAATGTAGTCAGACCACCCACCTATATGTTAGTCAGACCACCCATGTATGTTAGTCAGACCACCGATGTATGTTAGTCAGACCACCCATGTATGTTAGTCAGACCACCCATGTATGTTAGTCAGACCACCCATGTATGTTAGTTAGACCACCCATGAATGTTAGTCAGACCACCCATGTATGTTAGTCAGACCACCCATGTATGTTAGTCAGACCACCCATGTATGTTAGTCAGACCACCCAGGTATGTTAGTCAGACCACCCACGTATATGTTAGTCAGACCACCCATGTATGTTAGTCAGACCACCCATGTATGTTAGTCAGACCACCCGTGTATGTTAGTCAGACCATCCATGTTTGTTAGTCAGACCTCCCATGTATGTTAGTCAAACCACCCATGTATGTTAGTCAGACCACCCATGTATGTTAGTCAGACCACCCATGTATGTTAGTCAGACCACCCATGTATGTTAGTCAGACCATCCATGTTAATGTAGTCAGACCACCCATGTATGTTAGTCAGACCACCCATGTATGTTAGTCAGACCACCCATGTATGTTAGTCAGACCACCCATGTATGGTAATCAGACCCCCTATGTATGTCAATCAGATCACCCATGTATGTTAATCAGACCACCCATGTTTGTTAGTCAGAACACCCAAGAATGTTAGTTAGACAACCCACTACGTGTTGACAGATCTACACAAAATGTGTCCAGTATCACATACCTCATTAGTTATAGGTATTATTAGATGTTTGGTTTTACATGTGTACACATATACATACCTGTGCAGGCACACTCATAAACACACACACACACACATATATATATATACATATATATTTAAATCATTAAGATTTAGCATGTGCTTTGCAGAACGTCGCTCTCGTCACGATCAGCGTGCGGGAAATTCTTTCCCTTGCCAGCTTTCTCGCCTTGTGCACTTTCACATCTAAAACGTCGCTTATATCATGTGCCCATTTTCGTGTTTGTCGGCCTCTGCCTCTTCTTGAAGTACCATGTCTTTTGCTTTTATTGTTTTCCAATCAGCGATGTCGCTTAATATAGCTACATTATTTAACAGGCGACACCTGGAATTAGCCATTCTTGTTGGAGATGATGTAGAGTCTTTAGAGGTGAACATGTCTAGGTGGGACAGCGAGGAGATACAAATACAGGCGGTCAGAGTTCAGTCCCAGTATTCTTTTGTGTTGGTGAATGTTTATGCCTGCAACACGAGCGTGGACTTCCAGAGGTTAAAGTGTTTTAGTGAAATAATATCTCACAAGAGACATGTTATTTTCTGTTTGGATTTCAGTGCTAAAGCCAGATCATGGGGAAATATTTCACCCAACGCACGGGGCAAGAGCTCAAGGCCGTGTTTGAAACTGTTGACCTAGTTTGTATTAACAGTGGCAGTGTCACGAAGGTTTCTCCTTCACTCACTTCAGTGTGTCAATGGGGTGTACTAGAGTACCATGGCAGCGACCACCACCCCTACAGCATAGTGGTGGAGAAAGGCATATTCAAGAAATACAAGCCAAAGGTCAAGACATTTATGTATGACAGTACAAGGCAGGTTGTGCTTGATAAAATAAGTCGTGACAAGCGCAAAAAAACAAAATGGCAAGAAGAAGAGCTGGAAGCATCCCCCTTGGTGGAATTGTGAGATGGAAAAAGCCTGGCAAATAAGCATGGTTCTGTGAGAAGATGGCAAAATGCCAAACACAACCGAGTCGCCCAACCTGGTCATATCTTGAGCCTGCAAAGAGACATGGACATAAATGTCGGCTGCTTTAAAAAAAACTGGTTACTGAGGTTAAACGTGAGAAGTGGGCAGTAGTGTGTCACGGAATAAGCAGAGATAGATCACTGAAGCTGTAAAGGCGACTACATAAAAGTATGGAAAAAAAACAACAACTTCATTTTTTAAAGGGTCACAAATTGGGCACTTAGGCCAGTCTTAGATTCGGCTCTTCCAGACAACCATCTTTCGCAAAGCAGTTGTATTTTACTAAAAAACATGTTATGAACCTATGATGATATGCATATTATAAATATTATAAAAGAACACAAAAGCATGAGTTGTAAAGTGCATGCAAAAACCAGCGTGTGCAAACACACACCCATATACATACATACACCCACATACACACGCTCACCCACTCACTCACTCACTAACACATACTTGCACGCATGCATAGATTACATACATACAAACATACATACAGGCATACACACATAAATACAGCCATACATACATACACACAAACATTCATACAGGCCTGTGTGCCTGTGTGCCTGTGTGCCTGTATGCCTGTATGCCTGTGTGTCTGTGTGTCTGTGTGCCTGTGTGCCTGTATGCGTGTATAACTGTATGTCTGTATGTATGTATGTATGTCTGTATGTATGTATGTATGTATGTATGTATGTATGTATGTATGTATGTATGTATGTATGTATGTATGTATGTATGTATGTATGTATATGTATGTATGTATGTATGTATGTATGTATGTATGTATGTATGTATGTATGTATGTATGTATGTATGTATGTATGTATGTATGTATGTATGTATGTATGTATGTATGTATGTATGTATGTATGTATGTATGTATGTATGTATGTATGTATGTATGTATGTAGTATGTATGTATGTATGTATGTATGTATGTATGTATGTATGTATGTATGTATGTATGTATGTATGTATGTATGTATGTATGTATGTATGTATGTATGTATGTATGTATGTATGTATGTATGTATGTATGTATGTATGTATGTATGTATGTATGTATGTATGTATGTATGTATGTATGTATGTATGTATGTATGTATGTATGTATGTATGTATGTATGTATGTATGTATATGTATGTATGTCTGTATGTATGTATGTATGTATGTATGTATGTATGTATGTATGTAGTATGTATGTCTGTATGTATGTATGTATGTATGTTGTATGTATGTATGTATGTATGTATGTATGTATGTATGTATGTATGTATGTATGTATGTATGTATGTATGTATGTATGTATGTATGTATGTATGTATGTATGTATGTATGTATGTACAGTACGGTAGGTATGTATGTACAGTACGGTAGGTACAGTATTGTATAGTATAGTATATTATAGTATAGCACAGTATAGCATAGCACAGCATAGCATAGCATACCGCAGTATAGTATAGTATATTATAGTATGGTACGGTATAGTATAGTACGATATAGTTTAGTGTAATTATCATTATTATAAAATGCAGTATTGAGTTAAGTTATGTTTAATTTTGTTCAGTAGTGCTTAGTTGAGTTGCTTTGTGTTGTGTTGAGTTGTATTGAAATGAGTTGTTATGATGCGTTTTATTGACTTCTTCTTTTTCTTGTTTTTCTTCTTCTCCTCGTCCTCCTCCTACTCCTACGCTTTCTTCTTCTTCTTCTTCTTCTTCTTCTTCTTCTTCTTCTTCTTCTTCTTCTTCTTCTTCTTCTTCTTCTTCTTCTTTTTCTTCTTCTTCTTCTTCTTCTTCTTCTTCTTCTTCTTCTTCTTCTTCTTCTTCTTCTTCTTCTTCTTCTTCTTCTTCTTCTTCTTCTTCTTCTCTTCTTCTTCTTCTTCTTCTTCTTCTTCTCTTCTTCTTCTTCTTCTTCTTCTTCTTCTTCTTCTCTTCTTCTTCTTCTTTCTTCTTCTTCTTCTTCTTCTTCTTCTTCTTCTTCTTCTTCTTCTTCTTCTTCTTCTTCTTCTTCTTCTTCTTCTTCTTCTTCTTCTTCTTCTTCTATCTTCTTCTTCTTCTTCTTCTTAGGTCGTTCTTCTTCTTCTTCTTCTTCTTCTTCTTCTTCTTCTTCTTCTTCTTCTTCTTCTTCTTCTTTCTTCTTCTTCTTCTTCTTCTTCTTCTTCTTCTTCTTCTTCTTCTTTCTTCTTCTTCTTCTTCTTCTTCTTCTTCTTCTTCTTCTTCTTCTTCTTCTTCTTCTTCTTCTTCTTCTTCTTCTTCTTCTTCTTCTTTTCTCTTCTTCTTCTTCTTCTGTCTTCTTCTTCTTCTTTCTTCTTCTTCTTCTTCTTCTTCTTCTTCTTCTTTTCTTCTTCTTCTTCTTCTTCTTCTTCTTCTTCTTCTTCTTCTTCTCTTCTTCTTCTTCTTCTTCTTCTTCTTCTTCTTCTTCTTCTTCTTCTTCTTCTTCCTTCTTCTTCTTCTTCTTCTTCTTCTTCTTCTTCTTCTTCTTCTTCTTCTTCTTCTTCTTCTTCTTCTTCTTCTTCTTCTTCTTCTTCTTCTTCTTCTTCTTCTTCTTCTTCTTCTTCTTCTTCTTCTTCTTCTTCTTCTTCTTCTTCTTCTTCTTCTTCTTCTATCTTCTTCTTCTTCTTCTCTTCTTCTTCTCTTCTGTCTTCTCTTCTTTCTTCTTCTTCTTCTTCTTCTTCTTCTTCTTCTTCTTCTTCTTCTTCTTCTTCTTCTTCTTCTTCTTCTTCTTCTTCTTCTTCTTCTTCTTCTTCTCTTCTTCTTCTTGTTCTTCTTCTTCTTCTTCTATCTTCTTCTTCTTCTTCTTCTTCTTCTTCTTCTTCTTCTTCTTCTTCTTCTTCTTCTTCTTCTTCTTCTCTTCTTCTTCTTCTTCTTCTTCTTCTTCTTCTTCTTCTTCTTCTTCTTCTTCTTCTTCTTCTTCTTCTTCTTCTTCTTCTTCTTCTTCTTCTTCTTCTTCTTCTGCTTCTTCTTCTTCTTCTTCTTCTTCTTCTTCTGCTTCTTCTTCTTCTTCTTCTTCTTCTTCTTCTTCTTCTTCTTCTTCTTCTTCTTCTTCTTCTTCTTCTATGTATGTATGTATGTATGTATGTGTGTATGTATGTATGTGTGTGTGTGTGTGTATGTATGCATGTATGTATGTATGTATGTATGTATGTATGTATGTATGTATGTATGTATGTATGTGCGTGCGTGCGTGTGTGCGTGTGTGCCATTAGGGCAGCTTTGTTTTCTCACTGAAGATATTTCCAGCTGTACTAAACATGAAAATACGACAAATACAGAGAGTCAAGATAAAAACCCGGAAGGCGAAACATCAAAAACAAAAATAACGCCGACGAAGAAAACAATGCAGTCCTCACATGTCGCCCAGCCCCTCCCCCCCCCCCCCCCCCGCGAGCTCAAGGATTCAACAGAAACAAGATAGCGGCATCAAAGACCACCCCGGCCACGGAGACGGACAACGCCGAGCAGCCAACATCTGAAGATCAAATAACGAAAAAATCATTGCAAACGAAAAATCCAGACGCCGAGCGGCCAACGCCAGAAGATCAAACAACAAAGACAACGAAGAAACCGAACGTCGATCAAAACATTCAGCCGCTGCCGTTTCCACTAGACGACGAAAGAACAGTTACGACACCCATAAATGATGACGAACTCCCGTTACTTCAAACAATCAACGAAGAGGACTCTCCACTCAAAGAAATCAAGCCGACAACACTAGAACACTTGCTTTTCTGCCCTTCTTACATCTTTAAGGGTTGCATTTTGTTTCTACAGCAACACACCTAAAAACACTATACTCGCAACACATACAAGATAGAAATAAAGGGGCACTTGCTACGCTCGTAGGTGGTGCACAAAGATAACGCTTGACAGTATAAACCAAGGTGGGAAATCTTGATGTTTTTTTTTTTCCACCAGTCCAGAAACGGTTGTAACCACTATTCGTATTCGGCCCGACCGCAACTATTCGGCCGAATACCGAATAGTTATTGGGTCCACTATTCGGCCCCGAAGCGAATTTTCGGTACAGCCCTAATTTACACAGATTGTTCTGTGATCCGCCACGTTGGAAGCTCGCGGGCTTTCACGGCTCAGTTTGGAGGGAGAGTTGTGAAGGATGATTCTGGAGCTTTTGCAGTAACTACAAGTATTATGACTATGAAGGTCATGGCTGTGACTAAAGCAGTAACATAGCTAGAGACACAGACTTTCACTGGAGTACTCTTTCTCAGTGACTCGATGAGTATGCTCAGGAAGATAGAGAAGGGCTGGGTCCGAAGGCAGTGGTTGGTGGCTCTACAGAATTCACGACTGACAAGGTGTCAAGGAATGACACGCCACTACACATAATTTTAGACGAGTCGGGACTTGTATTACCCCGCTCGGCAAAAACTTTCAAATTTGGACTCGTCCGGAAAGGTATATAGTCCCTTATTTTGATTGATACCTTTATCGGATAAAATAATGATGTCTACACCTTCTAGTTGCCTTGACTTATCGTCATTTTCGATTTTGCAACTGTAAGTTAACTATTTCTAGGATTTTAATTGACTATTCCTGGAAACCGGTTTACTCCTTGCTCATTTATACAGGGAACTTCTTCTTACCGACGCCGAGCTTGATTTTGTGCGGGCATTCTTCTGCCTGCATTCCTAGAACCCAGATGTATTCATCGACGCCTAACATTCTTACTTTGAGAAGGCGGCCTGTAGTGTCTAGGACTTTTCCTATGCTTGGGATGAAACTTCTGTAAAGAGCTGGCAGATTAATCGCAGTCCTACCAACATCCACCAACCAACTATCCACCATTTAACACCTTTGAATGTACCTGGAAGCATCAGAGTACCATATACAATCATCACCTTAACAATGGCCGGAGCGTGTGAGTGAACTCCAGAGCAGGTGAACATTTGCAGAGAGTATTACCATACTCGAGTGTACCAGTCTTCAGGAGCTTGGTGGAGCTCAGAGACAGAGTTGTGACCTGACCTGTGGGAGAGACTTGCTGAGTCCCTATACAGTTTCTGTGTCCTCGATGGGGAGGTACTCCTTTATGACAAGATCCATTTGAAACAGAACTTCCAGAGCCAACTACAGTCGTTATCACCATGGACTGAGGGGAGCATCAACAAGAGAACTCTGATAAGTGCCAGTGTTGTTTCTATGTCATGCTCTACTCCCCACAGCTCCACAGATTCCTATGATGACAATGTGGTGCTAGTCAAGACCTTCGGGCTGTTTCAATATCTGAGTCTAGTCACTGTTTTCTGGGATCCATCCACTGAGATCTGGTGTCCACTTCACTATTTTATGTATATGTTGTATTGATTCCATGCATTCATTTTCATCACTGACTTAGGTGTCTCTATTTAACCTTTTTAAGTGTTTAGCATTGTTGTGTGTATGAACCATAAATATTATATGTGTTAACATGGTGATGATAGTAAACTACATATGATGGTAAACTATCATAACCTGGGGGCTTTCTTTTTATAGTAGTGGGGGTGTCCAGCCAAGTGTGCCTAGGAATATTGTATTCATATACAGATATATTTTGTTGTGCCAAAACTTGAGTTGCCCTACTACAGAAATAAGTTGAGCGTATATTGGCCACGGGGCATCCCTTAGACCAATACGAGCCAAACGACTCAACATAATTATTTCTGAGTGCTGTTGGTTCTTAAGGAGAAATCCTTAAATCAGGCACGTGACAGAAGTGATATGTGACACAAGGATAGGCTTCATTTTCCTGCTAGGATATGCAGGGGTACAAGGAAATCAGCAAGCTGATACCTGGTGACGTTAGCCGCTACAGGCTGCGGGATTTCCCGAGGAGGGGTTCCGAGCACTTATGGACTGAGTGGTTCGACGTGCAATGAGAATAATCTGTCGATTAACTAACTAACTAACATTATTTCAGCTTTCGAGACAAGACGATGTTTATTAGCCAATAGTCCTTGATGTTCAGATCTGTTAAAATGTCAGTAATTCGTCTCTTTTTTGTATCTAGTGTTCAGAGAATATCCCTCTTTTTTCTTTCTTAAGGAGGATAGTCCACGACTCGATAGTACGTTTGTTGCTACAGACAAAAATGCATGCTTTAAACTGTGTGTGCGCGCAGACGGGCGTGTGTGTGTGTGTGTGTATGTGTGTGTGTGTACGAACGTAAACATATGTTGTCTGTTTTCTTAATGTACAGAAATGTCTATGTACAACACTTACCACGTCTGGCTTTCATGAGCCCGACAATAAAATCGTCTTCGTCTTTACTGTCAATTTGCACAATCCAGCCACCAGATTCATAGCAACTCCACTGACAAATGAAACAAGGATCGTTGATTCAAACTACTAAACTATTTCGTTACCAAACTACTCACCCTACGTTGGTTAATTACTCTATACATGTTATATATTTCCTAATTGCTTGTGATAAATTTTATCACATTAATATATCAAGTCCCTGTTATTGGTGAGTTTGTTCCTTTTGATCTGATGGATGTTTTATTTCGCCATACTTTTTTTCTTTCTCCGTGAAACATGACCTTGACTTCGAGGTCAACTCAGTCCTAAATGACTACCAGATAAGGTCCCGGGAAGTAAAGGTGGCCGGCGGATGTTGACCCCATCACCTGTCAAATATCGATTTGTCTGTAACAAATATGAATCTAGCCTCAATGTAGAATGTAACACTTGCTAGTAAAGGAAGGTTTTGATAATTGACTATTTTATTGAGATCGTTCAATGTGAAAACAGAAGCATTACCAGTCACAGGAAGACATAGAAGAAGATGGGACGAAGAAATCAATGACAGCGTAAGATTTCAGGACATCACAATTTACCAAGTAACCGGGCGAGCCCTTGCTTGGTTATGGCCATCGGTTAGACAGCGGAAGAATACAGCGACCGACAAAAGCGATTACACGATTGTTACTGCACAGAACACCCCATAGAGGCAGGCTTGATGAAAACAATTGCGTGTAGCTACATGAGTGAATGCGTGGATTTTTACCATGGTACGGGGCGGGTCTAACGGGGATGAAATGGGTATCATGATGTATGACATGGGAAAGTAAAGACGGCCGGCGTAATGCTGACACATTACCCACCAAGTGCCGAATGGTCTGTAAAAATATGGGTACTCGTCCCATACGTCACTAAAGACGTAAAAAAATGGATCTTTACTTTACTTTGCTTACATGCGTGAATAGGGGCCGCGTTAGCGCAGTCGATAGGAGACTCGCTTTCAAATCCAGCTGAGATTTACTGCAGCCCACGGCCGGTGTTTGAAACCGAGTGGTTCCAGGGGTTCACCCAACCTCCAGGTAATGGGTACCAGAGTTGACACTCTTGGGTGAATGGAGGAATGTCGCTGTAGCTACGCAACTACGTACAGACGGCGACACAGGCGGACAGTTTCTTATCAGCTGTCCGTACTGGTGGACACACAATTTTATAAATAAATTTGCCATCTTTACTACTCAGAGCTACCCTCACACGTAAGATCAATTATATAAACAACTGCTGACTCGACCCTAAGATCAACAGTGAAGTGTCCAGACACTGACACTGCGATAGAGCGACTCTTTGCCAGGATATTAGCAATACATTATCCATACCATAGCTTGCATCCAAACGATAGAGGTCTCGTTGAACAGATAACATGAATCCCCAAACTGGTCCCAGCTGTTGCAGCCAGCGAGAACTAAAAGTAACACACAAAAGCAAAAGGCAATTATACACCTTAATAATGCATTGCACATGTAATAATCTGTGTCAGAGTACTTAGGTGAGAATTTGTCGGATCAGACAATGTAACTGGCAGGAAAGAGAAGTAGAAAGGGATTTCCTCGAGTAACTACCATATTCCCAGCTACACGAGCAACGCACTATATAACACACCACCACTCCTTCCAAGGGAGCGGATCAATATTAGTCTGAGGGTCCCCAAACACTGGCACGTTCATGTAACGTTTTCAGACTGACCATAATTTTGTGATACATTTGATGTTAGTTATTTGCAGGCCATTACACAGAAAAAAAAAGGTAAATTATAGTAAAGTTGCACAAGTCTCTTATCAGATTTATGATTCACTCACATGCGTATGTTTTTCTGGTTAAAGAATCCAATTTATGTGTTAAATTCTGCTGTGGAAGAATGGCCTCTGAGGGTTGACTAAGTAGCATCTTTAGGTGCGTTCAACAGGAACATTTTTTAATTGCCAAAACCTAATCCAGTTGTGCACTACACTGTTTTGTGTAATCTGTTGATTGGTAGGTAGGCTGACAGGTGAAGTCGTTACTTTCAAATGTTGGGGCTGACAGCAATCCTAGGGGCGTGTTCTCATTGCTTCTGCTTGTCTAAAGATGCGTGTGCTCAAACACCAGTTCTTTTTTTCAGCACATTTATAATATTGTATTGGTGTTCTGTGGATGTTACCTATTCTTCGCATGCAAATTCGCATAAGGAAAACAATAGGACATCTATACTATAGACCAGAAGCTGCCTGAGATCAACATGAAGGTCGAGGTCTCTTGTTCTGGAGCTATAACTTACCCTGCTGAGATCTGACACCATATTTTACGTTACTACAAGTCATCGTTTTAATGGAAACACATTTTCTGACGACGTGAGGCCTGGGTCAGTGAAATTATAAAAATATTGTGGCTGCTTTTCGCTGGTTCAGAAGCCCACCAACTTCATCATCAACTATTGTCTTCTCTAGAGTTGATGGTCACTGACATCACTCGGAGACCAGCCCTTATTTCTGTGCTTAACTCTATGTATATATTTAGGGACCTTTCTCACTTTCCACCATAATTATAGTATCTTAAGAGGTAGAACAGCGATCTGGAACTGGTCTGCAGTTTTGCCTTCACAACGAGATCCTTAAGTCTTACTATATTAAACCTGTAGTCCGTGTTGGTTTCTCATCCTGAATGAGATTTTCTTACCTGATTGTGTTAATTTTTTTTTCAGATAACAACGTGTAGGGGTTACACGACACTATAGCATGATGGAAGAGACGTTCTATGCATTCAACCACTACATGCTAATAATTAGTTTTCTGTACTCATAAACCTTGTCGTCATTCAGGGGAAATAGAAACATATGTGATCTGCTTTGATAGATAATCTAGCAAATGTGTGATCTGCTTTGATAGATAAACTACCAAATGTGTGATCTGCTTTGATAGATAGTTTAGCAAATATGTGATCTGCTTTGATAGATAACCTAGCAAGTGTGTGATCTGCTTTGATAGATAAACTACCAAATGTGTGATCTGCTTTGATAGATAACCTAGCAAGTGTGTGATCTGCTTTGATAGATAAGCTAGACAATATGTGATCTGCTTTGATAGATAACCTAGCAAATATGTGATCTGCTTTGATAGATAAGGTAGCAACTATTTGATCTGCTGTGATAGATAACCTAGCAAATATGTGATCTGCTATGATAGATAACCTAGCAAATATGTGATCTGCTTTGATAGATAACCTAGCAAATATGTGATCTGCTTTTATAGATAACCTAGCAAATATGTGATTTGCTTTGAAATAGAAGCTAGCAAACATGTGATCTGCGTTGATAGATAAGCTAGCAAATATGGGATCTGCTTTGATAGATAAGCTAGCCTAAATGTGATCTGATTTGATTAATAACCCAGCAAATAAGAGATCTGCTTTGATGGATAAGCCAGCAAATATGCAGAGTGTTGACCTAAGAATTGACATTCCAGCACTCTGGATATTCCTAAGAGCTCTCCGTCCTAATCTTCAGCAGCCCGCGAAGAGCTGCAATTCGGATAGTGCCAGTAGCAGTTTGATTATATATCCGTCTTACCTTTCATTTTAAGAGAAGCGTATCTACCAGATCCACTGGTCAATGCCGGCTATTCAATAATCCCCAGACCATAATGACTTAATAACATCAGATGCAAGATGAATTAAAGGAGTTACATGTAGAATAGCTCAGCAAAGGCAGCATTTTACCAAATGGAGAATAACGTGTGCAAACTTTCTTAGTCGATTGAGACGAGAAAGGGAATTCTGTAAAACTATACAAGCCCTATTTTGATATACACAAATTAATCACGAGCAATTAGTAAATTATTGAACACTTTTTTGGAAGCTGTGTAGATGTGGTTTCATAGACGAAGGATAAGAATACCCTGGACATACAAAAATGGTAATGAAGATATCTTGGAAGAAACCGACTCATGCAAAGAACTGATTGCCCTTATCAGAAAGAGAGAATCTACATTTATTGGCCATGTTATGAGAAGTTTAAAACTGGAGTACCTCGTTAAAGTAGGACATTTAGAGGAGAGGAGAGGGAGAGGGGGACACCAAACAAAAGATGCTGGACAGTTTGATATCATGGATGATCCGTATCACAGGTGACTGAAAGTACACGAGACAGAAGGCTGTGGGTGAGCCATGACTACTAACACCACACAGCATGGACTTTAAGAGGAAAAAGAGGAATGATCTACTCATGCCTCCACATTGTTCACTCACTCCCAAAGGGCTTTGCCCACATCTGCCTTGTCATGCATCACTTCCCTACCAATTAAGGCAGGACTTACTAATCTGTCGGCTTTTTCATTTCACAACACGTCTACGTGTTCATTATAAAGCTTTCAATGGCAGCTAACTCCCCTGGATTACTGAAGCGTTGATTGCCACTCTAGGTGGATCATGTCGGTCTCCATCTTATTAACATGCTTGTTTAGTCTTTACAACTACATGGCTGCTTCGTTACAATCTCCACAAGGGTTTTTTTTTTTTTTTTGGTTTTTGTTTTGAAAAAGTCCTTTTTTTTCAAACCAATCAACAGTAAAGGTTTATATGGCCAGAGTATTTCAATTTCTGTTCATAATGCTGTTTACAAACGACACTTCCTTGATGAACTCTGTGGGATGTCTGTATTTCTGTCCTTGATCCATTGTATTCTTAGAATCGTTATGTAGCATTTCAGGTGTACGCCAAACAAGAACTAAATATGTAAAGAACAGACAATAGTGACAAATAAATCTCACATACCAGACTGTAAAATCAACCCTGGGAAAAAAAGAACTCTCATCTAAGGGCGGCAAACAGAATAACAGCAAATTAGTACATCATCTCAATCAATATACAGGTACTCTACAGTACGGCACACCTGACGGTCTCTTTCCCGTGGTGAAATCTCCAGCCCTATGTGCTTTCATAGCCAATGCATCTTCGGTGTCCCGTATCCACCTTTCAGGAGGTTAGCCTTTGCCTCGTCGTCTGAAAACTGCACCCTCCATCGCTTCTTGTTGTTGTCCATGCCAATATGATGTTTAACATCGCTACAATACAACAGCACTTCATTCAAGATGCTGTATTGGAGTTCACATCGATGTTAAGATTATGTAGCTAGCGATTTTTTTAAAACTATTTTTTAACCCAAGTTGATCTAAGAATTTATTGGTGTGAGTAAAGTAAAGAAAGTAAAGGACCCTTTTCCACACCTTTAGTCGCATGAGGCATATAGGGCTAGACCTATATTTTATAGACCAATCGGCACAAGATGGGTGATGTTGTCAGCATCACACCGGCTGCCTCTACTTCTCGGGACTGCACCCAGTGCCCACTCAAGGCTGGGTCGACCTGGGAGCCAAGGTTATTTTTGAAAATAGTTTGGCTCTGCCAGGGAGCTAACCCACTACCTTCCTGTCAGCGATGAGCGTCTAGGCGCTCGGCCACGGCGACTCCCATTTATTAGTCTACATGTCCTAAAACATGGTATCTTCTAATTTGCATATATGTTATTCTGTGTCGCATTGGCCGTCATTCTTGTCCAAAATCTTCTATTCTGGTTATTAATAATATTTTCAGGAATATCAAATAAACCAAGAGCAAAAGTACACTGACTTCAAGTGGGACAGACGTTGAGAGAAACTTAAAGCAGTATTTCTAGAATATCTTTACAGGGAAAACTACTGAGACGTAGAAATAAGTTAGTTCGAAAATACACGAAGAAAGGAGCAAGAAAATGAAGAAGAAGAAAAAGAAGAAGAAGAAGAAGAAGAAGAAGAAGAAGAAGAAGAAGAAGAAGAAGAAGAAGAAGAAGAAGAAGAAGAAGAAGAAGAAGAAGAAGAAGAAGAAGAAGAAGAAGAAGAAGAAAGAGAAAAAGAAGTAGAAAAACAACAACAACAAAAGAAAACATGAGGAGGAGGAGAAGTAGAAGAGCAATAACAAAACCAACACAAACAAGATTAACAAAAAGATAAGATTAACAAGCTAAACAACAAGTAAACAAAGTGAGAACCTACCATTATCAGTGAAGTACCCATGACAATATTTCAATTTTGCAGTTGACGCCGCCACGCTGGGACACTGTTGCAGTGCTGTCAATAATGTTGGCTATAGTTTGCACTATTTATAAAAGCTTCTACCCTCCAACTAACACGCAAAAAACCGACCTTTTTTTGCTATCGTTTGCATAGTTTTTTGCCGGTTTATCGGGCTGAGCAAGCCGGGGTAGTTCACATCTATACCAGTTTCAAGTTTGCTAGATAATAATACAAACTAATATTAACATTTAGTTTTGGGACGATGTATAATTAACCTTGGTTCCCAGGTCAACAATGGGTAACATTTGATATCTTAGGCAGCAAAGACAATCAGCATCATCTCATCTTTGAGATGTTAATCCGTTAGAAAGTCAAGCTTGTT